TTATTATTATTATTATTATTATTATTATTATTATTATTATTATAAAGATAATGCAAAAAAAAAATGAGTGAATTATCAAAAGAGAAAACCTATAATCCCAGAAAGGTATGACACCACGAGAGCTTTGATCAGTCACCTAATTGGCTACCTACCACTTTAACCACTTTTATGATATTGATTGATTAGTTATGAGTTTATTATTGGGGCAAATGCATTTGGAGAATAAATAAATGAATTCTGAGGTGGACTCTAAAAAGGCTTTTATTTTTTAGTACTATGTCTTATCAAAACCATTCATGTGAGTTTGTGGTGGATTTTTTAGAGGGTGTTCCATCTTATGGTTGGTTTTGCTCTTTAAATTTTAAAACAAAAACAACTATCAAATCAGAAAAAAAAAACAATATAATCTTGCTGATGTGACCGTTGTTTTCAACCATGCTGTCAAATACCTCCTCACTCTTCTATATTTGAATTGGACTGAATTGTCCATGTTCCTATATCCCCACATCAAAAATGCAATCTTAATTTGATGAATTATCAACATACAATTATCTAACATAGGACCCCATGAGTCATATTTCAATTCTGTTCAATGTCATTTGTATGGTTAAGTTCACATGAATAGGGGTCTGAAATCGAAACAGCCCATTCCAATTCTAACTGTTTGACCGGGCAGAATCAGATTTCATTTCCATTCCTGGTGGAATGACAATGACCATTATCTCCCCCCTCCATTGGGAATGAAATCTCATTCCAGTTTATTCCAATTCCCATTCTGAAATCTGAATACTGTTTAAGCCAAAGAGACTATGAAAATGAACCATTCCGACTACCACTAAATCAAAAACACCCTAAGGCTATGTTTTGTTTGAAGGAAAAAATAGGGAAAGAAAGAGAAATGTAGAGAAACCTTTACAAACCCTGTATAAGTTTCTCAACCTTTTTCCTTCCTTTTCCTACATTTTCCTTCAAACCAAACAACCTAAAGTACAAGTTATTCTAATTTTCTAACCCGTCCTTTTTTGCTTGCCCCCAGCTCCTCTACACCCATGGAATTTGTAACAGATTACTTCTGTCCAAGTACCGCAAATAATGGCATTGAAAAGGCAATTTAAAATTTTAAGATAAACATTGAACGTTGGGGTGGTAGTCAGGAAATGCATAGACATAACGATATGATTAAAATATACACGGGCATTTCAAAAAAAAAAAAAAAAAAGAATTACATAAATCCCAAAAATGTATTAATAACATTAAGGAGCTGCTTGAGCCCGTGGTGTTGCATATTTAGAATCTATGTAGGCGCCATGCAAGTGATTTGATTTCATAGACTTGAATTCAAATCTTTGTACCACCCTTTACATAGGGACAGGGATCTGCTACTACCAAAAAACGCTCCCAACCCTGTCCCAACCGACTGCACCTGCACATGGGGAACATCTCTCTTGTCATCCATGCGAGATCTTCCCAATGTATGGCTGGGATGGCCGGTTGGGACGTTATTGTGACTGTTGGTACCTGATGGAGGGGGTGCTGGGAAACATCTTTTTTGGCATCTAACCCTAATAGGGGCCGCTTCCACTTCGGTTGTCTTTTGCTGTCTAGTAGCACCAAGTGTTCTAGACTAACAATTATGCAGTGTGATATATGTCAAACATGTCTCAATACATCTCTTACCCTGCGATACAGATACTTAAATATCTTTAATGGCTATCTGCATACAAAGTTACTAACAAGCAGGATATAAGAATAAGTTGATAATCTCCAGGGAAGAAGAGGGTAAATACAACAATTGAATACAGCCATTAACCCTTCAATGAACTTGAAACTTGAGTCTACAAGGAGAATTGACACCCTCATACTGTCATGCACATCAAATTCACAAATCCTTAAAGAATTAATATACAAAGAGAATCAACAGTCTCCACACGCATCGGATTCAAAAGTTTTCACATGAATTGGACATTTCAGGAAATTTTTAGACGAAATTATATTATGCTTAGAGGCCCAACCACAAGCCTCTCTTTTCAATAAGGGTGAACATTCATCATATTTTCACCACCCGTAAACCAAATGTAGATAACAAGCACACTCTTCACGAGCTTATGTACATCAGAGATCTTTTTAGAAGGGCAGACACGAAGAAAGAATTAACACAAGTATTTGCTGACACACGTTCACAAGTCACAACACAACTGGCAGCCCATTTCTCCCTCCTACATTATAGAACATCTCTTCTGATTTTCACCGCTTGTAAGTGGCGAATTCTGGTCCAGTAAACCACATTTGGCATCTGTTGAGTTTAATCCATACTGCAACACAATCATAAAATTACTCAGATGACAATTTCAGACTCATGCATAGAGTTGACACTAACTAGCAATATGGAATAAAAAAGTTCTTTCATTAATGAAAAGCTTGTAGAATCTTATGCATAAAAAAACTTTTCTTATGCATTCCTATTTCAAAGTACACGTCTAATTATTCAGAAGACAAAAGTGTATCTGCTAAAACAATATCTTTATTTCACAAGTTAGAAAATGATTACATATATGGTCACAGACTCACAGTCACACGGATTTGACAGATCAAATCAATAAATAACCCAGGATTCTTCAACATGATTTGGGGCTCCAAATTAGCACACTTGTTTATACAGTCCTGCTGCAACTCTGTTAAATGGCACTAATTCGGCTTAAAAGTCTTTTCTCGGGACAAGTTTTCAAATGAAAAGTTGGAAAATTTGATGTGTAGGCTAATATCACTCAGTGGAAGTGTCAACACAAGGTGGGTTAGAGGGCTGATGTGGACAAAGGGATTGAACAAGTGGCCAATCTGGAGTACTTCTATCTATGAACAGCTCAAATCAGGTAAATATCATCTATGTGACAGGTCATGTAGGGACAAATCCGAACTGACTAGATTGGGAAACCTACTTTCATTCCTTATATAAACATAATATATATATATATATATATATATATATATATATGCTTGCCTACTGGGTTAAAGAACACACCCAAAAAGATACAAGGGAAAAAAGTGTTGCATGGACATGGACACAGGAATCAGAATTGATGCATGTCTAGGAGTCTGCCTTGACAAGAAAAAACAAGGGCTCACAGATACACCTAGAGAAAAGCATAAACAAATAAAATAGTCCATATTTTTTGTATTCTAGCATTATATACCCATATAATAAACAATTATATCACCTTTTCTATTTCATCTTCATGAAAGATTAGAATGCAGCAAGATTGGGTGACGCCTGAAGACTACATAAAGTTGAACTTTGATTGGAGTAGATATGATAACCCGGAATCATTGGGTGTGGGAGGTATTTTCATAGATGAGGAATGTCATATACTAGCTTTTTTTTTCAGGTTTGGAAGGTTTTGGAGACTCTACAAAGGCCGAATTAATGGCTGTTCACTATGGGACGCAAAAGGCAAAAGAGATGAATTTAAAAAGATTAGTTGTTGAAGGTGATTTTCAAGTGGTGATAGGGTGATTCAGAGATGAGAAGACAGCAGTTTTGACCTATAGATGTGTTAAAGCAAATTAAATTGTTAAAAAGGAATATGGTGGTAAGCTACCAGTAGGTGCTATTTGTGTACACCATCTCCTGTTCATATAAATAAAATTTGTTACTGTTATATATAAAAAAAAAAAGGTCTAGAACTTTATCTTTGTCACTTGATAATGGTTTCTAGGAAAAAATGGCAGTATGGCATTCTTTTTATGTTAAATAAGCAAAATGTTTTACTTTAAAGTGTCCATGAAGAACCCATAAAATAACGGCGTGCAAAAGATGTCCAACATGGACACTTCAACCACTTGGGAGAATCCATGCAATACTGAGAAAAGGTCTATGAAACCAGATGCAATCGATCTTGCAGAAGAGGGTAGGAAGAAGATTGACTTGTCTTGGGGTTCTATGTTTCTGGCTCAGACATTACAATTTACACATGGTTTTTGTGTAGAATATACTTTGCCTTCTATTTAGACTGCCTGGGGCAGTCCTAGTCTGCTACTAACAAACAATGCCAGACACTTCATAGTCTTGTGCCACCTATACTCAACACATGAATTCATAAAAGTTTGCAAAACAATTATGTTCAGAAGTGCTTGTTTCTCATTGTTGAAGACAGTGCATAAAACTGTGATGTAACAAGCACTGTTTTGTTACCAGAAGATCTGGACCCTCCTAGGTTTGCTTTTCTGAGAACCTATGTGCTTTGGACCAACCTTTTTGACTTGTATCTAGCACAACATAATAATGATTTAACAAACCTCCAAAACACTTACAAGCTTTGACATGGAAAGACCTCTGAAAAAGGCCCATCATAATTTACCATCCTAACAAAACTACCATACATGATTTTCAGTGTAAAAGCCCTACATCGCCCCTGCACACTGCCATCCTGAGCACCACAATCAACCAGCCAACGTTAAGGAGCACCAAATTCCTAAATATCTTTCTAAAGAAAGAATATGTACCAACTATATTTTTAGCAATTCCTGAACACAATTAATTACTTCAAAAAATAATTCCTACCAAATTAAATCCTCAAACTAACAAATTTCTTGGAGACTCTACAATGTCGTGTCCAAGCTAATCAATAGTTAGATGGTGAATAATAAAGACTTAGGCTCTTCGCTGGTTTCAACCTGGGTGACTTGAAGAAATTGGCCAGAATTAAAGTTGACTTCCCCATTTCATTGTCAACCTCCTATTACAATCACCCCAAGACAGGAGAGTGAGTACATCCTAAACTTTGATGAAAGTTTCAGGAAGACTATTGAGGGTTCATCCAAAGCTGGAATTGGAGAAATGGACATTTGGCTTCAGTATTTAGTGGCCCTTCCAAGGCAGATGGCACTGCAGAATCAGAGACTCGAGCCTCCTTGAAGGCCTCAGAATTGCCAAGTTGCAGTAGTTTAGATCTAATGTAGTGGAAATGGACTCAAGGAATGTCATAAATTGGGCATCTGAACATACCCTTGGTCCTTGGAAGCTCTCTCACCTTTTGTTAGAAATTCGTGAGATTTCCTCTTGCTTGCGAAGTAGTTTCAGATGGATTCCCAGTAAGGTTCAAAGTATCGATATGATACGCCCCGTATCGGACGTATCGTATTGTATCTTTTGGTCTCGATACACCTATTTACAGGTGTTTCAGGACCCCCATTTAATTCAATAAAAAAACACTTAAAATCATCTCCAGAAATCAAGTTTTGAAAAAAAAAAAACTAAACAAAACATTGAGCAGTGAGTTTTTAGTACCGATACACCACTGTCGATCCACAGGGGTGTATTGATACTTTGAACCAAGATTCCCAAATAGTCAAAACAATTGGCAGATAACCTAGCAAAATCCCGGTTGGGAAGGAAAGTTCGTATGGTGCAGTGTTTTAAAAGTGCAAGGCACAAAAAAGGCGCAGGGGTCAATTTGCGCCTGAGGCGCAAGGCGAGGTGCGCGCCTTTTTGAAGCAAGGCGCAAAAATACAAAAAAAAAAGCTAAAAAATAAAAAATAATGTCAGAAAATTCAAAAAAATAAATAAAAAATATTAAACATAATATTACTAAAAAATATAAAGTTAAATTTTAAAATAATGTTTTAAAAACCTATTATCTAAAATTA